TATTATAAACCCACTGGAAAGGCCTGTGAATGGGTCTATCCTGAATCCCAAACGGCCGCTAATGCGGCTACAGAAGTCAGGCTGATCCCAGCATTTTTTTTTTTTTTAATTTTTTTTTCAACATTTATTTATTTTTGGGACAGGGAGAGACAGAGCATGAATGGGGGAGGGTCAGAGAGAGAGGGAGACAGAGAGTTGGAAACAGGCTCCAGGCTCTGAGCCATCAGCCCAGAGCCTGACGCGGGGCTCGAACTCACGGACCGCAAGATCGTGACCTGGCTGAAGTCGGTCGCCCAACCGACTGCGCCACCCAGGCGCCCCAGGCTGATCCCAGCATTACAGGAGGGCCACTGCTTACGTGCACAGAGATGTTTCTACAAACACACGGCATCAGAGGAGGGTGAATTTCAGATCAGGGTCAGTCCTTGAGTTACGACAAACAGCTGTCATGCACACTCAAGACTCTAGAACTCCTCTCTTCTAAAACTAACATTTATTATTATTTTTTTTAATTTATTTTTTTTTTCAACGTTTATTTATCTTTGGGACAGAGAGAGACAGAGCATGAACGGGGGAGGGGCAGAGAGAGAGGGAGACACAGAATCGGAAACAGGCTCCAGGCTCTGAGCCATCAGCCCAGAGCCCGACGCGGGGCTCGAACTCACGGACCGCGAGATCGTGACCTGGCTGAAGTCGGACGCTTAACCGACTGCGCCACCCAGGCGCCCCAAAACTAACATTTATTTTTAAAAAAGAAGCTACACTTGTTTTTTAAATTTCTTTTTTTCTATTTACATATTCCATTAAGAGGAATATTTATTTCTTAGAACATTTGCCCAGTCAACCTTGATATGAAGGGTGAAATTTTACTTAATATTATGCTAATACAAGGGAAAAATGTGAGGCTATAATTCCTAAAATCAGAGTTCATGTAGCATACATTCACCTCAGATGCTCTGTGATCTAAACAGTGACTTTGGTATGAAAACCAGTTCTGCATGTTCAGCCTAACTAATATGCTACTGAGTACAACCGTGCAAAGAAAAGAATCCAGAATAGTGGCTTAAAATCTTAGTTCCCTTAAGCCAAAAACCTCCTCCTACCTTTTTTTTTTAATATTTGTTTATCCCTGTTTTAGTTTATGCGTGCTTTTGAAAATGCACTGAGTAAATGTATGAAACGATTTCACCTCATAGCTGGTATTGCACAAATTAGAATCACATTTTTACACCGTATTTTGTGAGAGAAAAACACTTTCAGACATTGTGATTGTACAAATAGGATCATTCACATGTCAATTTTATTATTAGAGTTGACAATAAAGTTAAGTACCGCGTTTTTCAGGTTTCTGGAAATTCCAGGGGATTTGTGTGGAGTTGCTATGCACTTGTTATGCTTGGGGCTAGCAGTTAATTTTCCACCTGACAATGCCAAATGTAATTAGAGTGTGTGTTACTGGTCAATGCTTTCTGAACAATTTTAAGGGAGCAACCCAGTAATGCCCTTTACCCCACGCCTCCATTCAACCCCAGAGAGAGAGAGAGAGAGAGAAGAGAACAGAGGTCTTCTTGTTTGTCGTGATCACAACCGGGCAATTGTAGTCACTGAAATACCTCTGGAGATAGTGGGCAAGGGGGAAAATCAGACTCCTGTACCATGTGCCAGGCTACTTCTCATCCGTCTCCTCAGGAAAATCAGCTTTTGGAATTCATTTTCAAATGAGGGCCGGAGAGCGTTGCTTGGAGTTAGAATATATGGCAAACAATGGACTGTGATACCACTCGGAGGGTGAAACCACCTTTGCTTACTTTCAAGTTCTTGCATTTTACAGTTTAGGAGGTCACAACTTGACGAGTGGCTTTTTCAAAGGTTAGGCTCATTTTACTTGGACTTTGAACTCTGACTCATTGGTGAGTGACTGAAGAAAGTTCTGTTCTTGACACAGCATGTTTTAAATTCTCCGCCAGCTCCTGTGCTCACCAGTGATTGCTAAATATAAGGACCTTAGAAGCTACTTAGGGTTACTGACTGCATGAAACACACAAAAAACCAAAACAGAGCTAAGCAGTCATAGATGATCATTTGAAGCCTGCAGCTCTTAAGCAGGTGAAAATGGTTTAACCAGGCATGTTGAACATCCATGTAAATGACTCACAGGTGATTTATGTTACCAATTTTTTTTCTAAATTACTTTCTCTTTTTCCACCTAAGCCATGGGGCCGCCAATAAAACTGAGAAAAAAAAAATTTTTTTTAGTGTGGTAAAGTACACATAGCATAAAATGTATCATTTTTAACCATTTGTAAGTGTATAATTAAGTGACAGTAAGTACATTCACATTGTTCTACAACCATCACCATGAGCTTTTTCTCCCCCCCCTCCCTTTTTTAATCTGGTCTAGTTAGTTAACATACAGTGCAATATTGGTTTCAGGAGTAGCATTTGGTGATTCATCCCTTACATGCAACACCCAGTGCTCATCACAAGTGCCCTCCTTAGTACCCATCACCCATCTAACCCATCTCCCACCTCCCTCCCTCCATCAGCCCTCAGTCTCTTGTGGTTTCCATCTTTTTTCTTTCTCCCCCTCCCATACATTTATCTGTTTTCTGAAATTCCACACCTGAGTGAAATCATATGGTATTTGTCTCTCTGATTGACTTATTTTGCTTAACATAATACATTCTAGCTCCATCCACATCATTGCAAATGGCAAGACTTCATTCTTTTTTGATGGCTGAGTAATATTGCATTGTGTATATATATACTTCATCTTCTGTATACATTTATCAGTTGATGGACATTTGGGTTCTCTATAGTTTGGCTGTTGCTGCTAATGCTGCCATAAACATTGGGGTGCATCATGTACTTCTTCAAATCTGTTTTTGTTTTTGTTTTGTTTTTTTTGTATCCTTTGGGTAAATACCTAATAGTGCAATTGCTGGGTAGGGTAGTTCTACTTTTAGTTTTTTGAGGAACCTCCATATTGTTCTCCAGAGTGGCTGCAAACTAGTTTGCATTCTCAACAACAGTGCAAGAGGGTTCTCATTTCTCTGCATCCTCACCAACACCTGTTGTTTTTCTTCTGTTGTTAATTTTAGCCATTCTGACAGGTGTGAGGTTGAATCTCATCATGGTTTTGATTTGTATTTCCTTGAAGATGAGCCATGCTGAGCATCTTTTCATGTGTCTCTTAGCCATCCGGACGTCTTCTTTGGAAAAGTGTCTATGCACCATGAGCTTTTTCATCTTCCCAAGTTCACAGTGCACACCTGGTAAACAATAACACCTGCCTCACCCATTCCCCTTAGCCTTCAGCCCCTGGCGACTACCATGCTCCTTGCTGTGTTGGTGAATCTGACTATCCAGACACCTCATGTAAGTGGAAACAACGTATTTGTCCTTTTGTGACTGACTTATTTATTCACTTAGCATAGTGTTTTCAAGGTTCATCCATGCTGTAGTATTTGTCACAATTTTTTTTTTCCTTTTTAAGGCTGCATAGCATTCCATTGTATGTGTTTATCGCATTTTGTTTATCCATCCATCCACCGATGGACATTTGGGTGGCTTCCTCCTCCTGACTATGTGACAAATGCTGCTATGAACATCAGTACACAGATAGCTTTTCCCTGCTTTCAGGTGTTTGGGGGACATACTCAGAAGTGGATTTACTGGATTATATGGTAATTTTGGGTTTAATTTTGTAAGGAACAGCCATGTATATATATTTTATATATATATAAATATATATATATTTTATAGTGGCTGCGCCATTTTATGTTGACAGTGTGCTACCAACCTTTTTATTCAGCTGTTTGAAATAACACTCCCTTGACCTACAGCATTCTTCCAATTCTGTGTAGTTAGGTTGTCAACATATGCTTTCCCTTAAATTTATTTGAACACAAAGGAAAGATCGGGAGATGGCAAGAAAGGGTTTGTTAGAACAGGCTTTGCTGATGTTTCCATATGCTTAAAGCAAAAGTTTGTGTGTTTGCATCTTCTCTTTCTAACCTGTGTGTGCACACACTTCCTGCTTTTGCCATTACAGCACATATTCTTAAATTCTTTTTCACTTATCCTTTTGTTTCTTCATAGTGTTTATTTTTATAGAGGACAACATAGTGCCCTGTGAGTTCATAAACTATGTAACCATTATATTTCCAGGTTGCCTTTTTTTAAAAGTATGTTTAAATAATGTTGCCATTGGCCTCTTCACAGAACTCTGTGTTTCTTGAATGATTTTGAGAGATCAAATGTATCATAAGGCTAGTTCTTAGCATTTCTTGAGGGTATGTTCAAGGGTGCAGATGTTCTTTGAATGACCTTTTCACTGAATTAGTGCTCTGGTGGAGAAAGCTGTCTGCTAGAGGCTTTCTCTGAGAGGGTTAAATTGTGCAATATCTAACTAAAATTGAATTCTTAAAGTGTGTGTAAGGAGTTCCCCACCAGGGTGGGGAGGGGTTGTCTTCAGTGAGGTGCCCAATCTTCTTGGGATGCCTTTGTACATATTCTTTTACACTAACACATATTCTGTTTTGGTGCTTCTGTTGACTAAGCTCATGACTATTTTTAGGCACCCAGTGACAAACTACATAATGAGGTGAGGTGATAACTTTGACTGTCTTTGGTCTTCATTGCTCCAGTGAAGTTTGTCTTGTCTCCTCTTTGAACATTTTGTGTGTCCAGAAGTCCTATTTGGTGAATGAATTAAATAGCTTTTCTCTGAAGGACTAAGTTGGGGGAAGAAATAACATTGAACACCCCCAAAAGGATTTATTTTTTTAAAAAAAAATCATGGCTGACCTTGGTAGTATGCAAGATTGTTTTCATACATATATACTTCAAATTAAAAAAAAGTAACTGTTGTAACAATAACCCTGATCTAATTAATCAGTGTGTCCATCTGTGTTCCTGCATTCTCCAAAGTCTTCTAGGATCTTCTTAAGTCTCAAGGCCTGACACAGAAGGAAAAGCTTGCAGATGTTGCTTTTTCTCTACAATTCAGTCTTCAGCAATTTGAGAGCTTTCTTCATGTTGTCAAGCACTAATGGGGGAAAAGGTTGCCACAGTCAAGATGCCACCAGCAATTGTGTTGATAGATCTAGTAAACCCCTAAACTTGGGTACTTTATTCATTGTCTAAATGGGGTTCTATTTCATGATCGGGTGAAGAGTTGGTAATTTTATTATGAAATTTTTTCCCAAAAGTATGTGAATGGCTTTTACTTACATTCCAGTTCTCTTCCAATATTTATTACATGCCTTTTCTACAAAGCACTGTGATATTACCTGTGCAGGATACCTGCCTTTAAGGAGTCCAAAGTCTTATTAAGATATATGCTCTTATCTCGAGAATGTCCAGTGCTTGGAATGTGCTTCCCTGGTCCTCCCGGCACCCACCAGAGGCATTGCCAATGGACCATGATAATCTTTGCTGCTGCCCAGATGCAGCTTCACTGTCTTTCTCAGAGTAATATTTTAGGTCAATGCCGCTCAATAGACATTACTGTGATGATGAAAAATCTCCAGTGCCGGTGCACTGAGTACTTAAACTGTGGTTAGTGTGCCAGAGGAATTGAATTTTGAATTTTAATTAATTGACTGTTGAAGTGCTATGTGTAGCTCATGGCTCACATATTGGGCGATATAGTTCTACGCGGCCACTAGTCATTGAGCAGAATTGGTTCTTGGGGTAAAGCCCAACTTTCTTCCCAGAAGGACTAATTAGATGTGACAACTAGGTACAGTCTCCCACTGAGGTGCTTTATCTGCACTGTCTTGTCTTTCCATTTTATGGCAAATCCAGGCAAAGTGAGAATCTTTCCAACTACTGGGAGCCGTCTTTCCTTCTGATCTTTAAAATTAAACTTAAACTCAATGTCAACAAACTGGACTACGTTATTTCATTTTCATCTTTTGGAAAAACTACATAAGGCATGCAGATTACCACTATTACTATTGTAATAAAACAATTACTACTGCATTTATTCTTTGGTAGGAGTTATGGGATAGACTGCCTAAGGGAAAGTTGAAAAGCAGGTAATGTGGTCACAGAATCCTCCAAGAGAAAAGGACACCTAATCTAAATAGTCTTTCATTGAGATTTAAAATAAATGAGATCTAGGTGAATATGATTTGCACAAGGCTAGTTAGGGTCAAACTGATTCTCCTCACCAGAGCTCTACTCCTAGAGCAACAGTAATAGGTATGTTCACAGGAGGTAACACTTACAGAGCGCTACATCTGAAGGTTCGTAAGCATAGAGACGATTCGAGTATCTTCCAGTGATGTCAGCTCTAACTGTCAGGGATGGGTCTACAAAGAAAAACCAAACAGGAATGAAGTCTCTGTTTTCAAGTAAGCTCTGCTGTGTGAAGAAGCCTATGTGTTTGTCCGTGGCCCATGCAAGGAACACAGCGTGTGATCTGTCTCACGGAGTTCCATGCCATCCACTCTGCATCCCTGCCAGTGGCTGCAGTCCCCCAACCAGGGCCCAGAGTATTTGACAGCTGTGGAGTGCTATTTGTGGGAAAGGTTATGAACCCTGCTGTCCTATCTATAGCAACTCGAAAACAGAATAATACATACTTTCGGGGTGGTGTTTGGTGCTTTGGTGGAAACATTGGCATTCCCTACTAAAGAATTATTTTAAACTTTTGAAATGCTTATGTGGTAATTGCAGTGTGTTACCAAGAGCAACCTAGATAATTAGAAACCCACATCCAATGCTAGTTTTCAGAACCCAAGGTTGTTTTTAATCAAGTAAAGAATGCCAACCTGTAAGAGAAGCAAAGTTCAAATAAGCATGTAGTTCCCCTGTTTTTTTTTTTTACTTTATTGTTATCTGGATGCATTTGAAAAATAAAGACTTAAGAGTCTTCCCTCATGCATATATATGTCCCTATAGGTTTAAGTCCATTTTTTCATGTTTTGTATTTAACTTGAAGCTTTCAAGTTAACTTTTCACTTAATGAGAAAAAAAAGGTATTTTAACAATAAGGTGTATCAAAAAGGGTGATACTAGGGTCTACACAAGTCTAGGCACCTTGTCTTGCAAGAGAAGATTGAAGGAGCTTAAGGTACATGTCCTGAAAATAAGATGAAGAGGTCCTGTGAGAACCAGACGCTTGTATGCAGAGTCTGTTGCTGGTACTTAAGTGGGCAATCTTTCATTTCAGAATGTTGGAATGGTACCAACTGACATTAATTACAGAAAGCAGACATCTATTTGTTCAACAAAGACTTAAAACCTATTATACTTCTGCTACGTGCACAGGATACAAACACACGGTCTACTCTTTGTAATAAATTAACATAAGAAAAGCTTTTTAACAACCATTGGCTCACAAGCCATGGCCTGCACCCTGGAACCACTAAGAGAGCTTTAAGAAATACCTCCAGCCTCCCCCCACCCCCCCCCATGCCTTCCCCTGCGCAAGATTCTGATTTAATGGGTTTGAGATGTGGCTGGGCAGCTTGATAGCTTGAGTTTTAAAATCTTCTAGGTGATTCTAATATGCAGGCAGTGTGGAAACTCCTGAGCTGGAAGAGCAAGCAAGCTGCCTGAGGTGGGTTTTTTGGAAGGCATTGAATGTGGGTTAAAATGCCCTTACACAGGGATACTATGAAAAGAACTCCTGCACAGAATGTAACTGGGTGACCTATAAAGTCCCGGTTTAAGGGCTCTCAGTTTTCTAAATGCTAACAAAATGGAATCTGTACTATTAGCTCCAGTTCAGCTTTTTTCCTTTATATCCCTCACTTGTTCCTCTCCCCTGTTAATGTGTCTTTAGTGAGTTAGATGGTCCAATAGCGAGTTAGAGCTCAGTGAGCGTGGGCTCTGCCATGGGGTGGATTTATTTATACAGTGTCCTTAAATCACTCTGACTTGGTTCAAAGCCACTCCCAATTCATTTGTTCAGTCGTTTAACAAATATTTATTGCCAGCCTACCAGAGGGTCATTCTGCAAATAGGAGGGTGAGAAGAAACAGACACAGTACCTGCCCCCAAGAGCTGTGGTCCTGTGGGGGAAAATATATACTAAACAATCACCCACTAAATGCAAACTTAACACTGAGGTAAGTGTGTCTCTTGAGAGGAACATGATGTCACAAGAGCACATAGTGGGGATTGTGCCAGGTCAGTGAACGACAGGGATGACTGGGGAGTTAACTCGGTGATGGGGGAAGTGCATGGGGGAAGCAGGAAGACCTTTCCAGCAGACAGAACAGCACCTGAAAAGTACCGGTGGCTGGAAGGTGCATGACTCCTCTGATTTCTTTTATTCCAGTGCATCTTCCTCACTTTCCTCCAAATAATTATCAAAAATGTCAGAATGAAAAATCCAACATACGAATTGGAAGTTTGCCAGATGAAAAATAAGTATTTACAGGCCTGATGTATTCAGGAAAATGGGCAATGCATTTAAAGAGTTAATGGGAATGCTTCCTTTTCAGATGTATTTGTGACAGGACATGATAAGTTAATGTTAGCAGATGAGAAACAGATGAGGAAATAGGTAGAAGCTTGAATTTTCTAATGAAAATAAGTTGAGAAGTGTAAAGGAATGTCATACCCCTTGTTAGGGCATGACAATGGCAATGGCCATGACTGAATAGCAGATGGGGAGGGGGAGTCGAGAAGAGATACCGCAGCACGTGGGAAATGATCAGTGTGCTTAACCTCATTGTCACTTTTACTTACCAACAAACATGATTCTGGGGACATACTGTCCATCAGGAGAAAGGTGTTTATCAGTTGTTTCATACTAAGATTAAAAGAAAAGACAGCTTTTAGTTGGTCTGTTCTTTAGTTGTTTTCATACTTGTTAATCCAGAAATGTGTCCGTTACAGGGCTAGGCATCTTGAGATACTCTAAGGCACATCTCTTCCACAGAGAGTTTATAATACACATGGGGAGGCAGGTTATACACATGAAATAAGAAATAAGATAGAGCAGACTGTAATTCAAAACCTGATGTAGAGGACTGAATGATAGGATCAAGAGGAAAAACATTCAAGAAGTGAGAATATGGAGGGAGTTATAATGTTTGGGAAGACATGTTGGGTGAGATAGGAAATAGAATAATTAAAGAAACAGAAGTCACATTTAGAGAAATTACAGAAACAAACAGGCTTGTCTTATAGCACTTACCTTTAAGGAATGCACTGTCAATTGAGAGATACAGGTAGGAAAATGAATATCGAGGATCCAGTTGGTGAAGTGTTATGATGGAGGCTGTTCAGGTGAAGTGGGTGACCAGAACAGGACATTTAGCCCCGTGTGCAAGTTTTACTAAGACTTTCTGAAGTGAGTAGGGAGGAGTCTTAAAAAATGAACAGGAGTCGGTTACGTGGAAAATGAGGTCACTGCAGACAGTGGGGAATGACTGCACAAAGGTAGAAGAAAGGCACAGCACTTTCTGGTCTGACTGTGTTTTGGGAGGATTGAAATATAGGGGATGCATGAGGTATTGGCGAGAGAAGATGCTAGAGAGCTGCTTCTGGGGCTGGCTCTTGAGCAGTCTTTCACACTATGCCAGTGTTTGCATTTGTTCATGAGTAGACAAGAACATCTGGAGAGATTTAGAAGAAGTACCATAACCCCAGTTTGGTTTTCGGAATCGTTACCCTGATGGCCATGTGGGACTAGCTGGGACTTATTTTGTAGGCACAGAGCCATTTAGCAATGCTGTAGTCAACTAGGCGGAGAAAAATTGTGACACTAAATAGTAGTCCTCACTCTACAGGGAAATGACCAATAGCAAGAATATGTAGCAGTTAGACCACAGGGTTTCTTGACTGCTGAAGGTGAGTAGGAGATTGCCATCTAGAGTAACACTTACAGTGAAACAGGGAATAATGAAAGAAGAGCTCCTTGAAAATCTTGAACCAAGCTGATAAATTCAGCATTGGACCTGTTGAATTGAAGCTTAACTAATGCAATATCTGGACCACGATTGCACACACAAGTTGGAAATTGTCGCGTGTTTGGATGAGATGTGGGGATTACCAGTGTGTGGGCATTGGTTAAAGACAGTTGTCGATGAAGTTGTCCATAGAGAATATAAAATATGAAAAAGACAAGTATGTCAAGTAGAGATTCACCAAGTCACTAATACTGAAAGTTAGAAAGAGGAAAGTGAGCCCATGGAAGAGTGCTGAGGAAGATGAGAATGTTCTTTTTTTTTTTTTAATGTTTATTTATTTTTGAGATGGGGGGAAGAGAGAGAGAGAGAACGAGCAGGGGAGGGGCAGAGAGAGACAGAGACACAGAATCTAAAGCAGGCTCCAGGCTCTGAGTTGTCAGCACAGAACCTGACATGGGGCTCGAACCCGTGGACCATGAGATCATGGCCTGAGCTGAAGTCAGATGCTTAACCAACTGAGCCACCCAGGCGCCCCAAGAATGCTCTTTGAAGAAGCCAACCTATGTCAACTTGGAAAGAAGGGGGAGAGAGAGAGAGAACTTGCAGTAGAAAGAACTTGCAGACAGAAAGCCTGACCAACAGGAGGGGTGTTGATGGTGAAGGAAAGTGGGAATGAGGGGAAGCTATTTTGCATGTGCAGTGATTTCATTTAGACCACCAGGAAACTGTCTCTCCCAGGGAGAGAGGAGACAAGGACTAAGAAGGACTGGAGGCAAAGGGGCACAGGAAGAGACTTGCGAAGACAAAAACCTTCCAATTATTATAGCCACAGAGAAAATCCTGACCACAAGAGCACATTTTTCAGACAAGCTAAAATTATTAATCACTAAATAAAAGCATATGCATGCGAGATAGATTATTAATAAACTATGTCTCTCTCTCTCTCTCTCTCTCTCTCTCTCTCTCTCTCTAATCTGTGAGAGGAGACATTTGGAACAGACCCCAGTCCGTGCCGTGTGGCTAGAATGCATAGGAAAAGATGGATTGTCGATTTCAAATAATGAGTCATGGAGGAATGTCAGCAATGAAAAAAGTGAACTTACAACTAGATTGAGGAGGACGAACTGCTCTGCCAATTTCTGGATTTCTTTATTTTCAGCAAACACTTTCTTTAAAGCTAGAATACAAAGAAGAATCACTAAGTATCCATCTCATCAGTGGCTGAAAGCATTGCTTTCTATTGTATTTTAAGTTGAACTGTACTTTTATTATTTTTTTTAATTTAAAACATGTGTATTTATTTGAGACACACACACACACACACACACACACACACACACACACACACAGAAGGGGAGGTGCAGAGAGAGAGAATCCCAAGCAGGCTTCATGCTGTCAGCGCTGAGCCTGATGGAGGGCTCAAACTCACAAAGTGTGAGATCATGACCTGAGCTGAAATCAAGAGTTAGACGCTTAACTGACTGAACCACTCAGGCGCCCCTGGAGTTACTTTAAAATAGGTTCTTACTACATAAGATGTTATGTTTTATTCAACTATGCTAGGTGCTAAGGATATAAAGATGAATGACCTGAACCTTGGCCCTAAAGCTAAAAGCCTATAAAGGAAATTATATTTAGAAGAACAAATTACCTTGACTGTGTGGGCATTCATCCAAGTGATGAATAATCATTAAGGGTTTGTTGCTGTAAGAGACAAAGAGAGATTGGGTAATTTTTAATGAGTAAGATTTCATGTACAGCTATGTATCACTAGGTGGCGCACTTGCGAGCTTTAGGAGAACTCTGTAACCCTTCTCTTTACCTTGTCTTGGATTTGTATAAAGCTTCTTCGTATGTCTGAGTCCAGATGAGTTGGTCACCCCAACCTAGAACAAAATGAACCAGTATATTTAAAGCTATTATAATTTCAGACTAAAAATGTTGAAAAGCAATGGTGAAGACTGGGATAAATATACAAAGCAGAAACATTGATAAACTTTGATGAATTTAGAAGAAACACATGCAAAAATATGTTTGGCACACAAGTCTCAGCTTCTCAATTAAGTGGCATTGGAAGCCGACCGGAAGCTCTCTCCTACCTCTGGAGAGGGTCTGGGGCAGTTTGGGTGCTGAGTCCTTTGTGTCCTTCTTAGCTCCTGGTTTGACTGTGATATCTTTGGCCAGTGTGTAAGAGAGGGCGACAAGGAGCAAGAATGCTGACACTGAGATCTTCTCCATGGCAAATCTGATGTGGAAATAAGCAAAATATCAGTAAAACAAAAGGGAACAAGCAGCTTTAAAACCTTCAGACTGCATCATGGCCATGGGATACAAAGGAATTGAGGCTTAGCTGGTATGAAAAACTACCTTCCACATAATTTTCCTAAGAATACATAGTGTGAATATCTATTGACTTTACTACTAACAGGCGTACAGCCATATGTGTGTGTGTGTGTGTGTGTATGTGTGTTTGTGTGTGTGTGTGTGTATACTGATGTAGATCTCCATAGAAATCTACAGTATAGAAATAGGTATATAGATATTTTTTAAGAAAATAGATAGATGTATATACTCTTATAGCTAAAGGAGTTTACATTTAAGCTCTATATTTTGAAATTTTGAGTACTGGACGGCACCCTAGGGGCTACTCCTCCATTCCCACTACCCATGCCTGATGTTATAGATGGAGAGTCTGAAATTCAGAGAGTTGAAAGCTTAGGAGGTCTTATGGATCTTTCCATCTTGCAGGGCTGGCTCCCATTTTCCCATCCTGAAACAAGGGCCCTAAACATACACACATCTCCAGCCTTCTGGTAAAATGGGGGCATTGCCGTTAAAGAGTAAGATCTAAGTAAAATGAATCCTTATTTATTTTTTTTTAATTTTTTTTTTCAACGTTTATTTATTCTTGGGACAGAGAGAGACAGAGCATGAACGGGGGAGGGGCAGAGAGAGAGGGAGACACAGAATCGGAAACAGGCTCCAGGCTCTGAGCCATCAGCCCAGAGCCCGACGCGGGGCTCGAACTCACGGACCGCGAGATCGTGACCTGGCTGAAGTCGGACGCTTAACCGACTGCGCCACCCAGGCGCCCCAAAATGAATCCTTATTTAAATTAAAACCTGCCAACTTCGTCGCTTCACTGAAAACTTGTACCCACATAACTCCCTAGTGTAACATTTACTCAAATTCCGTTTTTAGTTCTGAATTGACTAAAATATGTCGATGCAAGTTCAGTCTACTGAGACAGTTCTTCGACTCTCTCCATGGGTCTGTATCAGTAGGTGACTGTGGGCATGTCTTTCAGTGCACAAAATATTCTATGGGACTCATAATACAGAGAACCAACCCATGGGTATCTCTTTGTTAATTTTTTTTCCCTTCCTGTATTTCACAGTTAATTCTTTGGGAAAGCTTCACTACTACAAAGCAGATGCCTATAAGTAGGAAAGTGAACGGTAAGATGAGATCTATGAGTGAGGGAGGGAGAGAGCTAGCTAGTAAAGAGAGTTGCATTAGCAAGTTGCTGTGGTTATTGATCACATGCAGAATTGGGGATGGGGTTCCAGGAAGGACAAAGACTGAAATTGCTTAAACATATCTCACTAATATTGGTGTAGGTCTGAATAAATTCTGCAGAGGAAACAGGATGGGTTATCAATGGTTAGTATTTTTAAGCTGGGGGTGGGGGGGGCCTTTCTCATGTTCTGATAGCTTGAGTGGAAATTGTTGTTGAGCATTAGCTGTTTTCGAAAAAAAAAAAGCATTGCTAAGTTACCAAACCCAGATGATGGCTTGGATTAAACTGACCAGTTACTATCCAAACCATCACAGGTAGCCACAAATGTCTAACTCAAAAAAGACAAACAAAAAGCAAGGATACGCTTCCTTCATTTTCTACACAGATAGCCAACAATTCCCAGCCTTCTTAGTACAAAGACATCTTTTTAACACTAGAAAAGAAAAAAATAAAACAAAACAGAACTTTGACATGAGAATAATTGTACTTTTTAGATGTTAGTTGGTTCATAACATAATTACTTTGTGGCAAATAATTACTTTATCAACAAACATTTGATTTTGTATTTTACTTATAGCAACAGCACCTCTTTATGTTAGAAAAAATAATCACGAACTGGTAGTGAGACGTTTTATCTATTTTGCTCACCGGCCGTTCTTGTTGCCTGACTGTCAGGACCCCTTGTAATAGCTGCACAGCTTACCGGCTGGAACTGCTGACATAATACATGCATTTTATGGCAGGGTGACCCATTGAAGCCTAATGTCACTCCTGCTTTATAAATACACCACTGTGGGCTCACTACTGACATTCATTCTACTGAGGTTTCATACGAAGTGGACTCTGCCTGCAAATTTCCTGCATAAACCACCTCAAAACAGAACGCCAGGGCGCCTGGGTGGCTCAGTCAGTTAAGCCCCTGACTCTTGATTTCAGCTCAGGTCATGATCTTAGGGCCGTGATATCAAGCCCCTTATTGGGCTCTGTGCGGGGCATGGAACCTGCTTAACATTCTCTCTTCCTCTGCCACTGTTCATGCTCCCTCCCCCTCTCTCTCTAAAACAAAAGAAAACAACAACAACAAAAAAAAATCACAATGCTAACCATAGAAAATGATGAGAATTTGGATACAAACACACACTCTATGAAACGGTGGCTGTATGTCCGTCCTCTTATCTGTAGCAAGGAATGAATTTGCAGGAAGTTTCAGTGTCCCTGTTCGTAAATGCTTCAGGAAAGCCAGCCCATCTCTTTTCTTGTAGCCCATCCCATGAATTTCAAGATTGAAGGTGCAACAAGAATATCTTTACAACAGAGAAAAAGAACCATTTTTCTGATCTGCAGTAATATTCCCACGTGTAGTTCCTAGCAGGCAGTCTGAGCTGAGATTTCGTAGTCCTGGGGAACTGTGCTTTAGCCAGTGGGAAAGAAACAGAGCATTACATGATGAGCAGTGCATAGTGACAGAAGACCGTAGGCCCTGTTCCAGGCTTGAAAGCTCTTAGAGCTCACCCACTCTTAAACCCCTTGTTTCTAAAAGGAGAAAGCATTACCTTGAAATAGCTCAGAAATGCAGCCCTCCACCAGCTCTGGCCAAGGAAAGGCCCTGGTAAGACTCTGATGGAAATTCCTTCCCCACATCTCATTTCATTGCCCTGGGAACTACCTTGCACTTCTTTCTCTATTGATTCCTGTAACTTTACACGGTAATCAGAGCCCCAAACTCACTCTAGCCAGTGCCCTGCCAACATTATTGTCAGGAGCCTTACCTGGATTTCCCCACCCACTTGTCTGTGTGAGCCAGCTGGCCTCACTGCGGTCCAAACCTCCTAGTGAGCCAGCTCAGCTGAGCCTCTATTTATGCTCCCGAGCACAGCTCAATCCCACCCACTAATCCCGTAAGGACAGGTTGCAAACTCAGAAAGGAACTTTCCTTTTCCCCAGCAATTAGCTCAAGAGTCCCTTGTTTTTAAAAATAGCATCACAAAGGGTATGCTTTTCAGGGTGCCTGTTTTTAACTGTTTGTGAAAGTCTATTGTTAAAGAGATTTGGAAAGTGGGCAGCGTGCCAAATCCAGGTAAGCTTTAAATGAAGACATTTGATTTGCCTGGAGGCTGATTTGTCTTTACATGATTGGATGGAGTGTGTGGTGTGTAGAATTTTTTTCTCCCCCTTGGGCAGATTGCCTTTTTTGAGTTGAGAACACCCAGGGGTGATTCACAATTCAAACTTTGGCAGTCATTGCACCTGCTACTCTCCATTGTGGGACACATTATTTTCTGCCATACACTTCCTCTTCCTGACGAACAAGATGTACATTCACCATGGCTATGAAAAAATTGCAAATCAAGCATGCATGCACAAAGTATTTCAAAGCTGAGGAAGTCATTGAAAGAAGATACCTAACACTATGAGTTTTTATTAATTACATTGTTGTTGAAAATATTCAACAACTTCCCTCCAAAAAAGTTCAAAAGTGATCCACACATACTCTCATTTAATGGCAAACTTCCCTGCTAGGCATGCAGAAGCCATTTACCTCAGTTTTCAGACCTGGAGCCTCATGTCTGCGACTTCTTTTTTCACTCAAGATTATGTAATTATTCACAAAAGATTTTAAGACTGAACTCAGATTTTATGTAAAACATTTCAATCCTGTGTTTTGTTCATGAAGCTATATGCAATCCTTAAAAGCTCAGAATGGATAAATCTTTAGCAACAGAAAATTAACTAATGGGATACAAGCCCTATGAAAGTAACTTTTTTTTTTTTTTTTTAACATTTATTTATTTTTGAGACAGAGAGAGACAGAGCATGAACAGGGGAGGGTCAGAGAGAGGGAGACACAGAATCTGAAACAGGCTCCAGGCTCTGAGCTGTCAGCACAGAGCCCGACGCGGGGCTCGAACTCACAGCCCTCACGGACCGAGAGATCATGACCTGAGCTGAAGTCGGCCGCTTAACCAACTGAGCCACCCAGGCGCCCCTGAAAGTAACTTTTTAAAATGAGTTAAGATCATAATGTTTCCAAACACCTTCATGTAGATATATATTTTTTGATAAAACCAAAATTTCCATGGGAAAAATAGTGATTCCCAAAATGCTGAATTTTCTTTCACTTCTAAATGAGTTTACAGAGAGGGGGCACCTGGATGGCTTAGTCAGTTAAGTGTCTGACTTTGGCTCAGGTCATGATCTCGTGGTTCATGAGTTCGAGCCCCGCATCGGGTTCTGTGCTGACAGCTTGGAGCCTGGAGCCTGCTTCAGATTCTGTGTCTCCCTCTCTCTCTGCTCTTCTCCCACTCATGCACACTCTCTCTCTCTCTCTCTCTCTCTCAAAAAATGAATAAACATTAAAAAAAAATTCGGGGCGCCTGGGTGGCTCAGTCGGTTAAGCGTCCGACTTCGGCTCAGGTCATCATCTCACAGTATGTGAGTTCAAGCCCCACATCAGGCTCTGTGCGGACAGCTCAGAGCCTAGAGCCTGCTTTGGATTCTGTGTCTCCCTCTCTCTCTGCCCCTTCCCTGCTCATGCTCTGTCTCTGTCTCTCTCTCAAAATAAAATAAAAACATTAAAAAAAATTAATAAATAAATGAGTTTACAGAGATAATTTCTTTAGATATTCGAAGACAATTATTTGAGTTGAACTTTATTTAAAAAAAAAACTTTTAATGTTTACTTATTTTTGAGAGGGAGAGAGAGACAGAACAGAGCATG